TTCTCTTCTCTTCTCTTCTCTTCTCTTCTCTTCTCTTCTCTTCTCTTCTTCAACCTTCTTCCTTCCTTCCCTTCATTCCATTTAATTTCTTTTCTTTTCTCCCTTTAATATTTCTTTCTATGTATTATTACAAGGCCAATTGGTCTTTCATTCCTAAATGCTCAGTTCCTGAAACAAGATCGTGACTTGTAAGGATAATCTCACCACGATGTAGGCACCCTACTGTCTGGATAATGCTATCAAAATTCCTTAAAAACGTCAAATAAGAAAGATAGAATACAAAAGTTCTATGCAATATAAATTAGTACCCACTTATTAACTTCTCCGGAAATGCTTAACAGATATTCGTCAGTGAGAATCAATGATAGCATTTATCTCTAAGAAAGAAACTGAAAGCTTGGTTTCAAGGAAGAGTTTTTCCTCACATCATGTTAATTCTGAAAATTTGTTGTAAAGATTTTCCAGCCGTCCGCAATATTTCCGAGCTAAGATTTTGCTCGCTATTACTTGAAGTTCTATTGAAATAAATTATCATCGAAAACTGCCCTATTTGGCTGGAGGACTGAATTATTGGAGCTTAGAAACAAACTAATATCATACAGTCGACATTTCCCGGTGTACGTACTGCAACAGCGAAACAAGTCCTCCTGGATTTGTTCGCCCGTGCTATGCTTTTATTCCCGCGCGAATTTGAAAACTGACCAGCGCAAAGCTGAATCTTCTTTTCATGACTGTCGACCCCTAGCTCAAAGGTCCTCAAATATAGTAAAAGTCATGAATTTGATTCAAACATTTTGTTTACATAAATCAAAAATTTATTTTAAAATGCGAAAATGTGCGGTTTTTTTATTTTTTATTTTTTATTTTTTAATGCGGTACGACTCAGCTCAAGCAGGAATGGCGGACTCGAATTCAAAACGGCTTTCTAAACAAACAAAAAAAAAAAAGGGGGGGATTTAATACGATATTTTACTGAAAAGTGGAACGGATACAAAGCTTTAAAGCTTTAAGCATACAATTCAGTCGCGGCGAAGTAAGTCAAAACTGAGACTTTTCCAGGAGGTCTGTCGATTCAGTATAAGAAAGCAAAATGATGATCGAAAAAAAATGGCATGTCCTATCAAGCTATACTACACTATATACTCTTTTCAATTTTAAATAATGTCATGCCTATATATTTTTTTTGGTGTTGTGAAAACTTAAAAAACTCTAAACTGAGGAATACTAGTTTCCATCGACAATTTCTTGAAAATTTCGTATAAAGACGAGTCCATACATTTTATTTCCGCAGAAACAATATTAATCGCTATTTCCAATTATTTTTCCATTAAAATTCCTGTGTTGTTAAAGCCTGTTGGAAGATTGTGAACTGGCTATATTGATTAGAAAAACTATAATCTGAGTTATAAGCCTTCCAATTAAACTCCTTCACAATCTTAGCTAGTATGTCTTTATTTCGAGGTTTGTAAACAGATTTTAGGCTTTTAGCTTTCCCTCAAAATCATTTTGAACTCTTTTTTAAAATCCCCTGGAGTGTTATTCGATTTTTTTATTATTATCATTATTTTTATTATTTTTAATTTTTTGCCGAATAGCTACCAAATCAATCGCATCGAGCTAGGATATTGCTTTAACTTGAAAGTTTTAAAGTCACGAGTTTTAAACACCTTACTTACCCTTTTGTAGCTTAAGGTAGTTTGTATGCCTTCACTTTCGTTATTGACTATATAAGGAATCTCAGCCGGCCTTCAGTGTTTTTTCTTTTTCTTTTTCTTTCTTTCTTTCTTTATATATATGTATAATTATCTAAAAGAAAGATCTTTTCCCCCGACAATGTGCCGATGCTATAAAGGAAAGTAATGCCCCACTGGTTTATCATTCGCAGAGAAAACACCACGACTTTCCTCAAAGGAAATAATATGGGCGCATCGCTCTTGTAGACATTTGACGGCTCTTATATGCTTACGTTTAGCAAGATATGCTATCGATAGAAGCATAATTCGAATTAACTTAGCTGTTTTTGAGTTTAAATTTAATCAGATAAAGAGCGGACACAATAATGAATGAGATTGAAAAGAGTCATGTCCAAAAGCTTTCCTTGTCGATATTTCATTCAAATTACCTACCTAAACTAGTTTAAAAAGACCAACTCATTGTAGCATTTTGAAAAGCATTTTGAATAACGCCCATTCATCGCTCTTTCTTGAATTTTCTTAACATATTCGAAAGCTGATTTGGTCTAATTTTTTTAATTTGCAGCTCAAACTATCTGTCAATTATAACATTGACTTCTCTGGTAAGTTGAAAAGAATTACCGAATGAATTGCTATAACACAAATAGTTAAATTTTTTCAGTGCCATTAAGTCTTTTTACCTCACAGTTCTCGGGCTAGCTAATGATTTTGAAGTGTGGATTTCCACAACACCTATTTCAAAACCTAATTAAAGAYGGTAATCTTTTAATGAGCTGTTTTTGAAATTATTGCACAAGACGATAGGTGGTAGTTCTTGATAGACTCAATCTTATTTCAGACAGAACAGGAAAGAAAACAATACAACGAAAAAATCCTCGCAGTGTACAATCATCACTGGAGAAAAATGGGTCAATTATTGCAAGTCTATATTTACTTACTTCGGACTGGTTATCTACAAGTTACTGTTATCCACAAGATTATATTAAAAACGACCTGGAATGGGGCTGGAGTCTACTGAGTACTGATTTCTAGTTGAAATTAAGATAGGCAGGAACCTGCTACAAAGGTAAAAGGAGACTCTACCGCTCGACAGTTCAGAAATGATTGTCCCTGATAACTACGAAAAATTCGACTGAAAAACTGACACAATCTACAATCCCTGCAAAAACATGATGTGTTGTCACACTGAAGATATTTAACAGTAATCACCCCCCCCCTCCCCCCGAAAAACTGAAAAACCTACACAACATTACTAACGTCCCCCTCCCCCCAAAAATCAATGTTGAGGTGTGGCTGCGTCCTGCCCACTGCCACTCAAACAAATTTCAAGGGAAAACTCTTTATCACCCGAGGTTGAACAGTGAGGTTGGGAGGTTGCTGCATCTTTGTATATAAAGCTAGAAAACCTTATGATGCCAAGACTTTTCACAACGATTTTAGTTTCCTATCATCATAGACGTAGGTATCTCGAACATTCCGCGGTGTTGTTTGCCCATAGTGCCCAAAGCTGTTTAATTGAGTTTTTGTCTTTAAACGGCATTAGTTTTGAAATTTTTTAATAGCAATTAAAACCAAACATATTTGAATAGGATATGGGTGATCGTATGATAAGTGCCGGGGAATGCCGAAAAACTATTTGACAATCGCGCCGCGCACATTAAATTGCAGCTTTCCTCTCTCCAACTACCGACAAATCTCGAGCTAGGCGCTTTTTAAAATTGTTCCGATATATATACATATCGGTATGTGTATAAACAATTCGCCCTGTTTTAATATGTCGATGCGTCACAGCTTATATTGTTTACAGAGCTGGTGGTGAGGAAGAATAAGAATTTAAGACTGTTTATCAGTAACTCGAGTTACAGTCACGTGTTTTTAAAAAAATGATAAATAAATAAAGACGTTATAATAGTTTCGGTAAGTCCATTGTTTTTCGTATGTATTAATTTGGGGGTGGCGCGATTGCTAAACGCAATTTTGTTCCACAAACAGCTTCTCATAAATTTAGGTCCAAGAGTTTCTCTGAATTTTATCGATTGAAATGAAATGAAATTATTGAAATGAAATTTGATTTAATGGAATTCAATAAAATGTAATGGAATTCGAAATCTTGAACCTGAACAAGAAATGTCCACAGAAAACTGACACAGGCTAAAGTGGATCGTGTCAGTCCTCGTACACTATAACCGTGACGGAGCAGGTATTTGATATAATTCTGAGTATGACTTCGAACTAAATCAGCCTGTTCTAATTAATATACGACAACTTAACACACTAAAAATACAGAATACTCTTCTTATACAGTTTTTACGAACGAGATCGAGTGATTTCAGTTCCTGGCCTTTGCCCGTGAAACATCTATAGCCGACGTAATGTAGTAGTTTACCCGCCAAATTCCATTTMTTTTTCTTTTGCTTTATTTTGAATTGACCGCATGTCACTAATTATACATCTTTGTTTCATGGGCCAAATAAAATTACTCCGTGTTCCGAGACTGTTAACTCAAGGTTGCGTGCGCAACCAACTTGATGGCCAACAAAAACTGGAAAAAAATTGAGAAGCCTGTTTTATGTTTAAAGAGGAAAATATTAAATTAATTAATTATGAATTATTATTAAAAAATAAATGAAAATATAAAATAGCAATGTAGGATAATGCTCATCAAAAAGCTCCTATTCTCGTATCGTCCTGTCAAGTTCTTTAAATTTCATTGGATGCACACGCAACCTTGAGAAAACGGTTAATTCTGGTTGTATGCAATGCTGCGGGCAAAAGACGTAAAAAATAAGCGCCGCTTTCAATTATCAAAAATAAACGAAGGAAACTTACCTATCAATAGCTAGAAGCAACGAAACTTTTATATAGTCAGTATAGAAAGTATACTACAGAGTGAGAGAAAATAGAGACTGCTATAACTCGTGTTCAGTTCCATTCATGATACAGCCTTGACTAGCCAAGTTATTATCAGAAACGCACCAATTCCAAGTGACGATAGCTCTTCTTGTGATCGCAGTTTAAAGACGGCCGGCCGTTTTGAAAGCAGGAAACGTTTTGACAATGATATGACTGCCATCAATGCTTTTAATTTGCATTAAAAGCCTTTTCTACTCAGCTGTAAAATTGAATTATAGAATCGTTTTATCTTTGTTGGCAAACGCCGTTATGGCAGTCTTTGTTGGGGAGTTTTTAGCAATAATTTTTCAAGATGTAGTAAAATGAGTGCTTGAGTTTGAATACTGAGTCGCCTGCTTTGCTCAAACGTTTCTATACAGATAGATTAAATCATTTTTTAAATGTTAAAACATTTTAAAATTCATGATGGAGAATATTGAATATTTCGGAGAGCGAAGATAAGTGTGAGTGGGGCTTAATTAAAAATTATGCAAAAACTATGTTTGCTTCGGCACGATAGAGAACTAGTTAGATCTTTTCTCGGCTAGCAGAGTTGATTTTCCTTTGGCTTTAGTGGGCTTGACCGCCCAAGGTAGAGAAAGAAATGACGGCTCGAAGAGAAAGCATAAATAAATCTGATGAGCCGACTGTTCTTCGTCGCGATTCGAGGAATCAATCGATTAGGACGTCAAATTTCCGGCAAGCTTCACTTAAAGCTACAAAGTGCTTAGCCTCAATCAGGTCGACAGTAAGCACTCATAGGACCGATCTGCACTTGGGCTTAATTTATTGATACATGCACTTGAGATGAGTGCTTCTTAATTATTTTGAAAGTTCTTAGTCGACTTAATAATGGACTTATCTTGTTAATAATTCATTTTAACTTAACTGGGAAACAGATTTATCAGTAAAAAATAGATGTCTGTCATAGTGAAATGTGCGGCTTTGAAGTCACTAGAGCATGAGAACCCTAAGAAGAAAGATAACAAAAAAAAAGCATTGCAGTAGGCAGGCAAGGCTCAGCTGGTTAGTGTGCTGAAGTCCCAGTTGTACCAAGGGTGGATAGCTCTATCCGACGGATACATATTATCCAGTTGGTAAATCTATTGGATAACAGCATCGACTTATTTACTGGATGAGGATTTATCCGTTGGATAGCGCTATCCAACTTGTCTCCAGGAGCAGCCGGGTCCCGGAGTTTAATTTGCGTAATAGCGAGCACGAATATGCACCTTAGGGCGCTTTATACATGAGCCCTTGGCACGGGAGAATAGACTTTTTACAATAACTTGCAAATTTCTCGCGCGCTGATTGGTTATTTTTTCATAATCAATAAGAGGACAGATAAAGCTGACGTCTATTTGTTAAGCTTCGAAGATACGGCAAATATGACGGAAAAATATACAAGTTTCGTGTGTTTGCATTATTTTCAATGGGTAAAGGTAATCGATTCGCTGCCTTTTGTTGTATTCTCTCGTAACAAAGCTTTATTTACCCCCTGGACGCCCCATAATGCCTTGCAATCCAATATGGCCGCCGTACATCATCGAAGTAGTCCATTAGGCAACCACTCTTCGCGTTATGGATGGTAAAAAAGAAGTCTATTATTTTCACCGCCAAAACAGCCATTCACCTCTTAAGCGCGGTTAAGTTTTGCGAACACAATTTATGGCGATGCTTTGTTAAAACGTTGCCGAAGAGAAGGTGGATGGGGTAAAAAAGTCCAATTAGCGCTGACTCAGTACGGCGTAATTTAGCAAATGACGCCGAAAGATTTTCTCGCTTAAGTAGGCAATTACCAAGCAGATGGTATGCAAAAGTGCTTCTGACCTTGGTAAAATATTAACCTAGCATTCTAAATTTCCAGGCTAGGTACCCGTTTCAATAGCGAAATATATATTCACCTTGGGCTTCCTGTGCCTTTGATCGAGGTCAGTGTCACGTGAGATAACAAGATGGCGGAGAACAAACCTTCACTTTTAGTTGCAGTCAAAAAGCTAAGACAAAATTTCGACATAAATCATGCTAAAACTGCAAAAATATCACGAGGGTTTCGTACTTTGGGTGTTCTAGACTCTAATGATTGTTTGACGATATGTAACGTGTTAAAACGAGGCGGGAAAACGCTTGACAATGTTCAGAGGTAAAAAATTCTTGACAAAAAATATAGCTTATTTTTTTTAGGTTTAAAACTTTTTGAGAAGTTTGGTGTTGTTCAAAAGAAGTGAAAATGGTGCAGTTTGTATAATTTACATTTATGTTTGTGTATTTGGTATTTTTCTTTTAGTTTTGAATGGGGATCGCAGGCTATTTCGAAACATGATCATGAATATCCAGACAGCACAGCAGATGATTGTCTCGTGGTTATCAAAGATGATCATTCCGTAGAATTACACCACGTCAAACAACAAGTTACAAGTGATGATAAGTTGGATGATAGCTGTTTGGTTGTAAATTGTGATGTTGTTGTAAAAGCAGACTTGTTGAAAAGCCTCCTCAGGGACAGAGGAAAAGGTAGGATTAATACATTCTTGCAAATACAGATACATGTAAAGTAATAAAGATTTCGTCAGAACAAAATTCGAATTTTTTAAGCCATGGTCAATGCTCATAAGTCCTGCATATATCCAGCTCTTGATGCACTTGAGAGGTTGCTTAAGCACTCATAAGCTAGAGTTGTACTTGGCTACATCTTGTGCAGCTCTTATGCTTCTTTCATGCCTAGCAACCTCTTGCGTGCATCCAGAACTGGATCTACACATGCTAAGCATTGACCATTTCTTACCATGCCACACCATTTTGTCTCCTGAGTAAACTGGAATAAGAAAAACAAACTTGTATTTATTGTATTTATGAAAGTAGTGTACAGTATTCCTGAAAGTTCTAACAGACTTTATTTCTTGCGTCAGACTCTGCAGTCCAAGAAGTATCCATCATTGCCATGGAAACAGAGCAAGATCCTCATACTCATAATGCAACACTCCTCATTAATGACAAGTACATAGCTGTGATAACATTAAGTGAAACCAAGGAACCTGACATGGTTTCATGCTTTGCTCTGGACAATTCAATGCCAACTCTACCTATTGTCATCCCTGTTTTATCCCTGGTTCAAGTAAAAAGATGTCTTTCACTCATCTTCTGTTTGTTTTCTTCTGGAACTGCGAGTATCCTTTTAATATTTGTATACTGTATATAAATTAATTTAGGAAATTGGCCAACCAACACCAAGTTTGCTTAGTTGGTTGCGCATCAGACTAAATCATAATAATTTCCAGTCATTATAGGTTGCTATCAATAGACGTCACTTCCGGTAAAAGCTCTTTTTTGATGGCTTGTAGAATCCTGGAGGTTGTTTTGATCTCTTGTTTTCTGGTTTCATGTCGTAGAATAGTCAAATACAATAGTTTGAGGACTTATTTTGATATGTTTTGACTTGGCATCCACTAGTTGCCCCTCAGTCAACCGCTTGTTTGGTCCCCAGTCAACTCCAAAAAGTCACATGATTGATAGTAAGCAATTACAGTATGCATGCTCTTGCTTTCCAGCATATTGTTTTTATTTTATTTTTCATTTATATTGATTGTCTGGGTGGTGTAGTATAGCACTCATATTACATGTATATAAAAAAGGTCATTTTGAAATAGCATGTCCTTACTGGTATTATAAAATATTAATGCAGTAGTAATAATCTTTATATATTCCCTTAACTACAAATTACTACAGTGATTCATCATATTAGTGGTGATTTTATTGCATGTCTAGACATACAGTCATATCACTATAGCAAGCAAGGTGAGCTGTCTTGATAATCTGATTGGCTTACGCCGTTATCTGATTGGTCAAATATATTCAAGTAGTCCCAGTTAGTGTGTCTGTACAGTAAGCTTTTGAAATTGTCTGAGTTTGCAGAATATCGAAAATCTCAGTAATGACTTTTTTCAGAGTTTTGAAGTTGGGCGTAAAAGGACATTGAATAGTTCTATCAGCTTAGTTTTTAATATATATTTTTAGATTTTTATAATTATTCATATTTTATTTTATTTTTATAAATGTTAAAAATTTAATTAATTAAATTATTTTTTAAATATGGACTTAGAGGCGTGATCACACTGAACAATTTTCTCTGTGAGTTGTGTTTGACACAACCTGCATGGAGCATTGCAGCGTGTAACCTACAGCAATTTGAAAAATATTGTGAGAGGAGTTGCAGCAATTGTTGCAAAAAATAAAATCGATTTCTACTTTTGGCAACCATTGTGTTGCAATCTCTGTTGCACCATGTGACACTCTTGCAATTTGTGTCACAACGCTGTGGCAATACAAGTTGCAGAGAAATTGCTTTGTGTAATCGCACCTTAAAAGTATTAATTGTTTTTCAGACCCAGATCTAGAAGATGCCAGTAGTGATGATGCTAGTATTGATGTTCAACAGTTCCAAAGGAAATTTGTTCACCTAGAAGTGACTGAAGACCTCTCACTTGTTGTGTCTTCTGATGACTCAAACAACATATACACTGTGAACCTGGATGAGTACTTCAGGGATAATCCAGATCATTTGAATGTGAAGGATAAGGCAACTAGAACTAATACTGTTAGTAGTGGAATGCAGTTCTCAGTGGAGGATGAAGACCAACTTGTAAGGAATACTAGGATGGCAGATATTGCATGTGGAGACAGGTTTTGGAAGAATGAGCTTTTGGAAATGAGAATGGAGGCTGCAAAGGAGAYTAGTCTTAATAATGGTAAGACAATCCATCGATCCTTGATCCATTGATTCACTGATCCACTGATCCAGTTATCCACCAATCCAAAGATCAACTGATCCCCACAGATCAACCAATCCCCTTATCCACAGATCCACAAATGCAAAGATCTAACGATCCATCAATCCATCAATTCATCCCATACAATCCCATCCCATCCCATCTCATCCCATCCCATCCTCTCGCATCCCATCCCATCCCTTCCCATCCTCTTCTATCCCATCTCTTCCCATCCTCTCCCATCCCATCCAAACCCATCCCATCCCATCCTCTCCCATCCCATCCCATCCTCTCCCATACCATCCATTCCCATCACATCACATCCCTTCATCCTTTCATTTCTTTCATCATTTGTTCGTCCCTTCATTTTTTGAATAATCAGTTTCTTTGTTGGTGAGCTTTGTTGTCTTTTTTATGTGTCTTTTTGAAACAGGCATGAAGAGATTACAAGCCGAAAAATACTAATGGTTCCTTATTTTGTTCAATTCCACCAGGTATTGGTTCTTACTTAAATAGTGACAACTATCAATCTACTGGAAGATGGTTTAGTAATATCAAAGACCTTAAACTCCTTGATTACTCTATCAAAAATAAGACTAAATACACCATGACTGAGCAACCAAAAACTCTCCAGCGGACAGGGTTCCTTCTTAAGAGAAAGAAATCTGAATCACGGAGTATAACCCCAAGCTCTGAAAACTCCTACAACATGAACAAGGAGCCAGCGTTGCCGAAATTCTCCTGGACCGAAGCAAAATCTTTGTTTTACCAATCTGACAAATGGATTGAAGAGCACCATATCGTTAAGCTTTTTGCTGCCTCAGATTCATTGATAGTCTGGTTTAGGCATGCCCAGAGTAATGGACAACAGGAGCTAGGGAGTGATTGTCCATTTGGGTTGGTTTGCTTGTTTGGGTATGGAAACAAAGAGGCTTTGTATAGACACCCGTGAGTATTATCTGAGTATTATTTTGCTATGCTTCTTCTAACACTTCTCTTGTGTTAGACTGACAATTGATCCCCACATGCTTCATAACTGCACACACAATGTACAAACGTTTTCTGTTACTTCCTTGAAGCTCCATTTGTACTCAACTGATCCCTTTTAAAAACCAGTATTCAATGGAACATAATTATGTGTACTGTAGTTGCTAATTGAGGACATTGTGTTTACTCTGCTGTACTCTTATTATATTCCTAAATACAAAAACAAAAACAAAAAACTTATATTTTACAACCCTCACTCCCCGTACAGGGCTCTTTCTTGAGTCTTGCTCCACACACACTAACACTACATTCTGTATTACAATATACAACACTCTTGAAACGCAATTGTTAATTTTTATGGAGTGAGGAAACCGGAGAACCTGGAAAAAAACCCTCCTGGCAAGGGAGAGAAACACACACCAAACAAACTCAACTCACATATGATCCAGTCTGAGCCGGGGCTCGAACCCGGACCACAGCGGTGAGAGGTGAGCAGTAAACCACTACGCCACCCATGCCACCCAAAATACAAATACAAAAGCCTTGTGAGAGAGATTAAGGAGATATTCTACGCTTTGAAGTATGATCACTCTATCTTTCTCTTTTCCCACACACTAGTCTATTTAGTGATTACCAAATGACTTGTTGGAGACACTGCACTGATGTTTCTGTATATAATGTTCTTGACAGGTTTTCAGAGCCCATTTTGATGGTCGACAGCAGCGATTCTTTTCAACCTGCTTGCCTTTTAACCAAGAATCAGTTGTGTATTCCTTCGTTTGGTGTGGATCAAAATCAGCTTGTGCATAAAGTATGTACCATCACCATTATCATCACCATCACAATTAACATTATCATCATTATCATTATCAACACCAACACCAGGATTATGATCATGATTCACCATTTTCCATACATTGGTTCACTGATCAAACACAAAGCGCTCAAGCAGGGTGCCAAGGTTCTTTCAAAGGATTATTCAAATTTGAACCTTGCAACCTCGACTGAATACTTTGTGTTTGACCAGTGAACTGATGTATGGAAAATGGTGAATCACAAACATTGTCGAACTTCAAGGGAAGCACGGGTGGCATAGCAGTGAGAGCGCTCGCCTCTCACCAATGTGACCCGAGCTCGGTGTTGTATTTGAGTGGAGTTGTTTGTTGATTCTCTTCTGTGCTACGAGGGTTTCTCTTTCCGGGTTCTCCAGATTTCCTCCCTCCGCAAAAACCAACTACTAAATTCTAATTCGATCCTATAAACTAATTACGATTTTGAAACAACAATATCACGAAATATTGACGGCTAGTTGGGAGAAAATATATTTGGTATTGGGCTCCGTCGCGAATCAGAACCTTAATTTTGAAACGACAATACCACAAAATATTGTCGTATCAAAAATATAAGAGACTATTTAGTGAATCGCGATACTAGGAGATATTCACGATAGGGCTGCGAATAAATTAGTGTTGTTTTTTTTTTCAACACGATCATCGTCATAATTATCAACATCGCCCACATCATCATCACCTTAATTAATAATTATTTTCACCATGATCATTATCACCAACACTAACATTATTATATCGTGTTACAACCACTCTTTCATAAAACATTGGGTTAGTTACAGTATTGGTTATCAAAGGGGACACGAGACCTATGTACAGTTGCCTTCTCTGTGGCCCAGTACTTACTAGATTATTTCATATGTAGATCATTGCGACTGGTGCACGAGAAGTAAACCTTATCACTCCAACAACCAATTGATTATTTTGAATTTAAACTGGAACACCAGCATGTAGAAAAAAGTTTTTGTTATGGCATGGGTGAATTGAGTGCAGTCTGAAATTTTTTTTGCCAGTCACACAGTTAAACGTGCGATTGTATTCTGCAAAGAACGAAACCCAGGCACTTTCCGTTTACCTGGAAAAAACGGAAATTCTGGTTGGAAAAACAAATGGTATTGTCATTCCGAACCGAAAGTTCCGGGAAACTCGGTTTTCCGATTTAGGCAATCCACTTTTGCAGCTTTTTTCGGTTTTTCCGGTAGACTCGTGTACCATTTATCGAAAGTCAATTTTAAAACAAATTTCCAACCAGATGGATTGGTTTAAATGGTAAACATCACGTATTACTACAATATTAAATGCCTGTATGTTAACAGGTGATTATGTACGAGAATGCAGCCTTAGCTGAATCACTCTGTCACATCAACCACTGGGATCACTATGTTATACCTCTGGAGGCGTTACAAGTGGCTTTAAAACACAGACAACTGGATACCGTGGCGTTCTTCCTAAAAACGCAGGAAAACGGTATCGCATGAATATAATTTAGACGTTCTTTGCTCCATTTTACTTTTTTGCCAATTATTACTGATTTCCATGGTTCCTCTCTGCTTTGTTAGCTTGTTCTTCTTTCTCCTTCCATTCACTGGACCATCTTGCATTCCTTCATCCCTTCTTTCTTTTCTTTTTTCTTTCCTTCCTTCCTACCTTATTTCTTACCTTTCTACCTTCTTCCATACCTTACTACCCACCTTCCTACCTTCCTACCTCCCTATCTTCCCACATTCCCACCTTCCCACTTTCCGACCTTCTAACCTTCAAACCTTCAAACCTTTCAACCTTCAGACCTTCAGACCTTCAGACCTTCAGACCTTCCCACCTTCCCACCCTCCTACCTTCATACCTTCATACCTTCCTACCCTTTTACCTTCCTACCTTTCTAACCTCCTACCCTCCTACCTTCCTACCTACCTACCTTCCTACCCCCTACCTTCCTACCCTCCTACCCTCCAACCTTCCTACCTACCTTCCTACCCCCTACCTTTCTACCCTCCTACCTTTCTACCTTTCTACCTTCCTACCCTCCTACCCTCTTACCCTCCTACCTTCCTTCCTTCCTTCCTACTCTTGTACCCTCGTTCCCTTGTACTTTCCTACCTTCCTGCCCTCGTTCCCTCCTACCTTCCCACCTACCTACCTGCCTTCTTAAGTTCCTGCCTTCCTCCCTACCCCCCTCCTTCCCTATTTACCTATTTGTCTCCCTAACTCCCTTCATGCTACCATTTCTTTCAGTCCCTCTCTTTCGTCCTTATCTTATATCCTTTATTTACCCCATCTTCTAATACTGTACTATCTTTTCTCCCCAGTATTCACAAGCTCCACTTCCCTACTGTCACCATCCTCTTCAAACACAACTCTCTCCCCACAGTTCCCCTCTCCCAGTCCTTCCTCGACCACTCAGCCTGTTACCATGGATATACAACAAACAGAGCACGTGATCAACGCATTGGTTAAATCAGTGAAAAAGAACGCAAAGCGTAAGTACTATCTAGTGTAAACGTGATAATTATCCATTTACTGTTGCGATTCTCCTACAGTATATAATGTTTGAGCGGGAAAATTGATCCCAATCATAAAAAGATCATATTAAAACTAGTATTATTACTGAGTTTGAGCATGTTTGGATGAATAAATGCTGAGTAACAAGCTTTTGGAAATGGCAAAAAATGAGAGAGAATGTATGGGGTTTGAGGACAACTTCCCAAAAAAACTTACATTCTCTCATATTTTTACGATTCACTTAAAGGCTGCTAATGAGTCAGTATTTAACCAAGCATTCCAATACTCGATAAAGTTAATAACTTTAGTGTGATCTTTTGTGTGGTAGGGTTTGTTTCTTAATTAAATTAATAATTTTTACAATCGTTCTCAGTCCTTTCCTCGATTCCGGAAAGGTTAATTGTTGGCTCAGAAATACCCCACGATAGAAGAAAGTACCTCGTTTTTGAACCATTGTTTCGTGCTCTCTCAAGCTAATTCGGCAGAGGGCTATTGTAACAGTAATATTGACAAAATGCTTATATTCTATCGTTTTTCAATACTAGAACACCACAATCTTCACATCACAAGCCAGCTTCTCCAAATGACCCTCATGTACCTACACAGTCTACTCGAAGATGGAACCCGCTTCATCGAAAAAAATAAACCAGAAACAGCTTCAACTATTAACCAAGACATGTTAGCTAGCCCTGACGTGAAGCAGCCCGCGATGGTGTCAGCGGTAGAGGATTGTTTAATGTTCGTTACCAAGAGCATTGTTGAGCTACGGCGTTACCTTGGTAATATACCAGAGAAGCAAGAGCTGGATGCTGTTGATGGAAGAGAAGGGGAGATAGCGTTTGATGACGTTGATGGAGGATCACAGGATACATTTGAAAAATGGAAAACTATGAATTGCAAGGTATTTATTTTAGTTTGGGAAAAAATGACAAGCAAAGTTTGGACATATTTATTGAAGTCGAACCGTGCGTCGGTTCGTTCGTTGGAGAAGCCTTTTTTTTTTGATGAGGCAGATCTTGGAAACCCAAATCATGCTGGAATACCTATTATCAATTTGTGTTGTAGGAAGTGATCAGAGATGCTGTGATCAGCGGTAACATTGGCACTGCGCAGGCGTACTTTTTAAGTAGCAGGAGCCATGGAGAGGTAAGACTCGATAGCTCAAATATGTTTACAGACATTGTTATTCCAAGTATACGTGCTACAACCAAAACATCGATGTTACGACTAATACTGGTGCGAATTCAAAGACCAGTCGGAGCGCGTGTTGAAAGGGCATTAACATAGCAGCCAATCAGAGCCGCCTATATTGAACAATTTAGCACTTTATAACTTATGATATTAAATCGTGCAATTGCGGTAGGAGTCGAGACCGACCGACTAAACCAAAGCGACAATATCCAAGAAACACCTTGCAGGGCTTAAAATAACCAAAATGACCGGCAAGGAAAAAAAATTAATTGGGCAAGTCCCAGTTCTGTACGGACATTGACTGATGTCGGCTTTTATCTTAAACCCTGACCTTCAACTTTGTAGCAGCACGGTACTTAAAACAAAATCGGTAAATGTTGTCTTTGTAACACAGGTAAGCTGTGATGGTTCATTGTCTAGTATCACTACTACTGGTCTAGAAATCATGCTCACTTCACTTGTCAACCAAGACGTAGATACTGCTATCAGGATCATTACTAACCTCGTAAGTATGACTCGCTGAAAAATGATTTACAGTAAATTGAATAAATTAAAAGTAAGGGAGGGAGGGAGGGAGGGAGGGAGGGAGGAAAGAAAGGAAGGAGGGAATATTCACTTTGTCCTGTTGTTTTGTTATCGTTACAGGGTCGTGATCCAGTTGAACAACTTCACACCTTGTGTTTCAACACCTTACATCGACCACTCCGAGATTTTCTGGTAAGGATATCATTCACTAGGCTCTTTGTCTTTGTCAGAGAAACTATGAAAACTGCTCGTTCATTGGGCTTCCTGTTGGTTTTTTGCGACAAAATGTTGTAGCATTAAGGCGCGCAACAAAATCCTTTGTTGCAAGTTGGGAAAACTTGTTGCGAAAAGTAGAACGTAGACCAACTTTCTGCAACAAATTTGCGATTTGATGCTCGTTTTTCATCACTCGTCCAACTTGTCACGCAACATTTTATGTGCAGAAGCGGCCACCATCTTGAATTATGTAGCTCGTAGCCAATCATCGTGCAGAATACCACCGTGATAGTCCCAGCTTGCAACATTAGATTTTGTTGCGTGACAAGTTGGATAGATAGGATGTAAAACGAGCAACATTGTTTTCGAACTTGCACCGCAACAATGTTGCGCGACAAGTTGGACGTTTTTGTGTCTCGTATTTCAGCGCCTTTAGCAGGAACAGTCAAAGTTGTTTTTTTATATGATACGAATTAAGGATGATACATAGCGGTGTTGAGAACAGGCTCGCATTTTGCCGCTATAGTTTTGGGTCTAGATCAGACTAGATCACATGTACCCAAGAAAACTTGCAAGCAGTCCCAGCTTGCGATTCCCAGGCAGATCCCACAATTCCCTTGTGAGAGTTGACGTTTTGGGGGGTTAGTGGGGTGGCTAGGTATGCGCCTGGATCCTAGCTGACCTTTTCAAAATATCACATTCCCTAGTAAATGCGAAAGCCGTAGGGAACGGCGCGGTTTTTTTTTACGACAACAAGACACAGAAAATCTCTGCATAAAACATCATGAAAAATGTGCTGCGAGTTTGTTGTGTTTTAATTGCCCTTGCTTGGAAAATCACTAAAAGCTAAAATCCTTTGTTGGACATACCAGATAAGCGAGCTCGATGCAAAAGGACATCTAACGAACGACGAGAAAGAAATGCTACAGTTTGTCGAGGCGTTAGAGAATCTGTACAACACGCAGTCATTTGAAATGGCGAAGGAGGGACTGACATCACAGAGGTAAATGGTTCATTTTCACAACATATTTCTTTGGTATCTTACTTTCTATCAACCGACATGGCAGCCATTTCTTTTTCTATTTACTTTTTTGTGGGAAGTCTGCAAAACTACTTTTATAAGATGCGGTGGTGAGCACGTCCAAAATCGCTTCTTTCTTTTTCCTCTGAAACTGATGCGCATAAAGTTTCTGATGGATAGAATATTTTCCTATTCCAGACCACGTGTCTTTCTCTTAAAAAAAATTAGACCACATGCATACGACATCAAAGCAGCTCAATTTGAAGGACAAAGCAAAGGAATTTCGGTCTCCTGAGAATTGGAAACGTATTGTTATGCCTTCGAGATTGAGCTGCATTCCGACTGGATGCAAAGGGTGCTAGAAGATTATTTATGAGTTGTATCCATATTCATGTTTCTAGTGATGTGTAATTATTAAACAAAGAAAGGATACTATAGGGAATGACTGGTGGCCTGAATGGGAAAACATTCTGCGCGAGCTGAATGGGTCTATTTAAAATATATTTATATATTATTATTGTATTTTAGTTGGACTGACCTTGGGCTTCTCAAGAACACCTTCAATTTAAACTCCACCCGTGTTTTAGAGACAAACGTACGCACAGGTAGTCTGTTGCAAGGTCATCCGTACAAACAGGTAAGAAAGGCAATATGTTGAACTATCGATCACGGTTCTTGTCTCTCTAATATATTTACATTTAAAAATTCCAGACACTAGAAACTTGTGGTGGTTATAGTGAAGTGCTGCTCGAATGGGTCCAAGCATGGAACCCTGAGGCACGCCAACGTATACTTCTCGAACGCATACTTTCGGATAAAGGTACATTTGTCATTGCTAAAATAAATTTTGAGAACACACTTTAAAAAAGGTGGAAAATACTAATTTAAAGGCAAAAAATGTTTGAAATTTTCTTTGCCGTAGATACCACCAAGAGATCGATCACCATCTCGCCTCAGGCCCTATGGCATTACTTTGCATCGCGCGGCGATTGGAGAACGATGAGGAGTTGGGTACGAGCAATGGCGCTTGAAGCAAATCCCAGTCCAGATGACCCTGTAGTGAGCATTGGTGATGCTCTCTCTATACATGAAGATGTTCTAATACTTCCACCACTAACACGTGATGTGTTCAGTCAGTTCCCAGCATGCCCTGCGGTCATCAAGGACGTAATAGTGGACGAATTAACTCGGTAAGCTTTACTTCTTGTCTATAAATACTTTCTCAGCAGCCTGTGTAAAATTGTACAATTTGCCATCACGACAAAATAAAGATTGGCTGGATGTCAATCAAAGTGTGTCCATGAAAGTGTCGAAAACACACGAAACACACAAACGCCTTGGTAGATGGCACCAAAACCTTCTTCGARTTCGTCAAAACGACCAATTCGCGGTTCTAATATTGCATCACATCAAAAATTTAAATATCCCCACAACTCTTGGACTCTCGCTACGACACTAGTATGGAAGACTTGATGTGCTATTAAAAAAATCTCCCGACTTCCGGTGTTCAGAAAATGTCACTACCCTACTGTCTGTAACAATTACTATTCTTCTGTTTATTGTTTATTGTAGATACGGACTCTTCACTATGGAAGAGCTCTCCAACTTCAACATTCTGTTGTATCACTTATGTCGCACCCAGACCTTGTTCACCGACCCACACCCATTACATGGTGTAAAAACACAGCTCCAACCATCACACGAGGAACAGATACACGATGACGCTGGCAGGTCTGCGGGCCAGATAGTGTCCCTTGGTGACTTCCACCGTAGATTTATAGAATATTGTATCAGGATGCAGTTTGTTAATCTGTTGTACCATTATTTGGATTATTACGGGTAAGAATACCAGATGAAAATACTTAACTCACAGATTCAATCCTGAAACATCCTCTGATCTTAGTCAGGGCACCGCAGAGTCACAGATCAAACCCTGAAACAACCTCCTGGCTGATCTAAGTCAGGGCATGGCTAACTCAGAAATCGGATTGGAATTTAGCGCGTTGGGTTTTGCGATGGGAGTAAAACCGGAGACCTAGAACCTAGAGTAAAACCCTCAAATCAAGGGAGGGTCCTAACAAACTCTACTCACATGTGGAACTTGGCCCGAGTCCAGGAATCGAACGCGAGACCCAATTAAAGAGTGTTGCGAGTGCACTACCACTACGTCATCCTTGATTCCCAATCAGAATTTTCTATCCTTAAGACAGGCTGCACTGTGTAATAACCCAACACATTGCAAATAGATGAAAGAGACACTCTTGCCCAAATTTAAGTGTTTTTTTTATTAGAAGGTTAAACGTGTAATCCCAGTAATGTTTCTTTTGGCAGACTTGGTGAATCACTAGAAGCGATGCTGGAGCTTCAACTAGAGTGTGACAAACCCCCTTGGTTTGATATGCTCATCTCTTTTCGACTGGCTGGAAAGCATCCAGAAGGTGAATATATGTTATTTACCGGCCAGGAGGTCAGGATAGGGAAAAACTGTGCCCTAGGTCTTGAATATACGGACCGAAGCTGTTAGGCCTAGGTCCGTTTTCAAGACCGAGGGCACAGTTTTTCCCTATCCGGACCGACTATAGGACGGTATAAAATAATTTTTTTCCCGTATCTTTTTTTACTTGTTTTCGCAATCGTTTTGTTTTGTTGTTTAGCGGCAAAGGATACCGGACCGCGAGCGCGGGCAGATACTGACAAAATACCGCCCGCTCAAACAGACAATCAGAACGTACGATATTTTAGGATACCGGACCGGGAAAAAATAACGTGTTATGAGACCTTATTCTACCTTTAGAATGTGCTGCGGGCACTCCTATCCTTACTAATAGACCCCCCTTCTATTGTACTATTATTTCATGTTTACCTAGTATTTTACTGAATAAGCTCCCCAGTTTAAGAGTAAAATGACATCTTTTGAGAGCCCTTCACTTAAAACAAAAATCAGCAAAGATGAGCTCAATGCCCCTATTATCCACATCCATGCAAAATCAACATCATCCAAATACATATCCTTTAAATCTGAGTTATATATTCCAGATAAAGACAGCGTGTTTCGTGCCAGTCTATCAAACGCAAAAATTATCTTGAATACCAGTTCACCCTCTATCACTGCAATGCTTAATGAAGGATGTCCTATCATGGCCTTGGCTACTCTAGTGTATGGACCAGGACCCATCTCACAGGTATACTAACCAGTTAATACTTCCGCAAATGATGGGGGGAAAATGTATATCACACTGTTTGCACTACTCAGTCCGTTTTTATTTTGTTTTTATTTATTATTTTTTTTAATAAAAAAATTGTAATAAAATTTTTTTTTTTTTTAAATTTAAATTTT